GGACAGATATCGCAGATAGAGTTGCTATTAGTTTACGGCGCGAATCCCTGTATAGTTGACGTGAAGGGAAGGACACCAATAGATTACGCCAAAGACGCCAATTATGTGGATATCGTCGAGCGTTTAGTCGAAAGTCAATACGAATTAAGCGATCGGTTGACGTATTTCGTGTGCGGACGAGTGCCGAACCACAAGAATGGTCAGCACTTTCTGGTGCCCGAAATGGTGGACTCAGGCGATCATCAAACGCACGATCAGTCGTCGAAACTGAAACTCCAGACCCTTTCCAATAGGATATTTGAAGAGCTGTCGCGCGATCTGTACGATGAGGTCGATCGGCGAGAAATGGACGCCATATTTAGCGCCAGTAATAGCACAGCGAATGCCGACCGACAAGTGGTTCCCTTTCTGCCGGTNCTTTCCAATAGGATATTTGAAGAGCTGTCGCGCGATCTGTACGATGAGGTCGATCGGCGAGAAATGGACGCCATATTTAGCGCCAGTAATAGCACAGCGAATGCCGACCGACAAGTGGTTCCCTTTCTGCCGGTCAATCAGTACTTCTCGTCGACCAGAAATCAGGGCCGACAGAAGTTGGCCCGACTTAACAGCAAAGAGTTCGCGCAACTCATTATCGACGTGTTGTACGAAATGCGCCGAAGACTCCAGTGCTATGAGAACACCGCCGATGCGATGACAGGCAAAGCCAATAGCGTTAAATCGGTTCCCGCATTGACTCCGAGTCGAAAAGTGGTCCAAACATCAGACGGAAGCTCTGATTACGATTCAGAACCGCTCTATGATTCCGTTCCCTCCGAAGATGAGGACAAAGATTATAAGAATGTTTTGTTTAAATTGAACAAAAAGTCTTCGGCAGACAATCGAACAAATAGTAAGAATCCGCAGCGAAAAGAACCAAAGAATGCTTTGCCAGCAGAGGATTACACATCACTGAGGGATCAGTTGAGTCGCTCGGATACACTAATACAAGAGTTGGTTCTCGGGAATCAAGACATGAGACATGAGATCACACGACTGCAAGTGATGGTCCAGAAGTTGATCGACGAAAACGCACAGTTGAGGGCAGTTGTCATTCCCAGCCGACAGACTGTCGCTGATATAAACAGTCCGATACAGACAGACAACACTCCCCCAGAAATAATGCCTCGAAATGCGGCCAAAACGCCGACTCGACCGCAGTCTATGTTTAATGAGAGGCCGTCGGCTCCGACGTCGGCCGCAAAGGCGTCGTCATCTCTGAATAATTTGCAACAAAACCCTCAAAACTCATTCATATCTAGTCTTCCAAAAGATAATATTCACACCAAACAGATTGCATCCCATTTGACAGCCGGCGCCGCAGCCGAGCCCTCCCACACACTCACTACTGACCCATCGTTTCTATTAATATTTCCACATAAAGAGGAAGTCCTCCGCAAAACAGAACAAATCACTCGATGTATACAAGAATTACTACTGACGGCACAGGACGGACGGCATCAGTAGTGAGTCTATACTTTACTTTTATAGATATAATGTCTGAAAAGAGATATATTTTGTTTATTTATTTAATTTAGTTTCGACTCGTGTTCTGACAAAATCAGTGCTTCAGTCAATCATATGATTAGTATATTTCCAGAGGTATTAATGACTATTTAATCCATATATTTAGCACACATTTAATTATATTGTATTTTTATTGGAAACTCAATAGCCTTTTACGGACATATCTTCGCACCCGAACGGCGAACAAATCTATACGGCGTTAAATCAGTTACACAGCAGTGCCTTAAAGTTGAGGGTCGAGTGCCGGACGTCACTAAACGTTAGTTTAATGCCTCAACACATGAAACAAGACTATCGACACATTTACCAGAAAGTGATTGAGAGTGCCTTTGAGATCGCAAAGTCCGCCAAAACTCTGGTCACTCTTTTTCAATAGGCATTCGGCAGACAATAAAACTTTAATAAACATTATATTAAAACTATTAATAATTTATTACTAATCATTGATTTAATACAAATAGTTATTAATTTAATAATATTTACCATTAGTTTAATAACAATTCAAGAATAATAAGTTTAGTAAATCACAAATCAAATTAATTATATTGACTAAACGTAATAATGTTAATAAAAGTCATTTAAATATACATTAAAAACACTTTACACGACATATAATTTAAACAATAAATTTTTATAAATAAATTTTTAACGATTTAAATGCAATAAAATTACAAATGTTTTACACTTTTTTCAATTCACAGCGAGTTTTGATTGAAAACTTTTTACTGAAAACTTTGAAGTGAGAGAAACATATGATTATTGCGATTACAATACAATCCCTTAACAGTAGGTTTAAAAGCAAATGTTTATGAGAAACACGTGTTTGTGTTAAATGTCTGTTTGAAACAAACGTTTGATTTTTTACATTTAATCGCTTTTAATTGTGAATCAATTTTGACTGTAATTTACGGTTAAATTATGGGCAAAATCCGGAAGAAGGGAGAGAGGGGTTCGCGCGTGGCTTTCGTGACCAGAGGTCAGGCCACTCGTCGGCTACAACTGTCGCTCAAAGACTTCAGGTTTGGTTTGGATTTGATTTTTTGATGAAATTGTGTTTTGAAAACTAATTGTTATTTAATTTACTTTAAATTGTGTTGAATATTGTGTGCATTTGTTGTGCAATGTATAGGCGTTTGTGTATTCTTAAGGGCATATATCCCGTCGAACCCAAGAACAAGAAAAAAGTGGACAAAACCGGCAGTTCTTCGCATAAAACTTATTATCTCTTGAAAGACATCCAGTATTTAACGCACGAACCAATCATTTGGAGGTTTTGGGACTTTAAAGTGAGTCTTAAGAAAACAATGATTGGTTTTGTCACACATTTCATTGATTTGTGGTTTTGTTATTCAGATATTTATGCGACGAGTGATTCGCGCGAAAGGACGCAAAGACAGCGAATCCATCCGAAGAATACGCGAGAATAAGCCCTTCTATAAAGTGGATCATATCGTGAGAGAGAGGTCTGCCGTTTGAATGCCACCAGATTTTAGTTATTTGTTTGTTAAACATTTGGTGTCATTTCAATAGATACCCGACTTTTGCGGACGCCATGCGTGATATGGACGACGCGCTGAGTCTGTGTTTTCTGTACTCAAACTTTTGCAAATCGAAAGCACTTCCTCTGGAACTCATTGAACTCTGCCGTCGACTTACTCTCGAGTTTATGCATTATGTGATCGAAACCAAGTCTTTGCGCAAAGTTTTCATTTCGATTAAAGGCTATTACTATGAGGCGGACATTAATGGCCAGTCCATCACTTGGGTTGTTCCGCATCAGTTCGTCTTTGATGTAAGTCTTATAGATATTTTTTAATTGCTTATAAATTCATGTCTTAAGCGTTGATATGTTTTGTTGTTTAGCGCATAACTGATGTCGACTTTCAAGTGATGCGAACTTTCACCGAATTTTACATCACTTTTGTTGGTTTTATTAATTATAAACTCTATTCAAGCCATTCATTGGTTTATCCGCCAAAAGTATGCCATCTTTGAGATAATCTCTTGTGAGAGAAACGGTTAATATATAACTTTTTTTGGTTAGATTGTCGACAAATTAATTACTGATTCCGATGACAACGATATGAACGAGCAATTGGTGGCAGCGCTTAACAATCCATTGACTAGCTTTGCGCACACGGAACAGATGACAAACATTGATGACTTCGAAGACAATCCGGAAGAGACAACGGGTTCTGAACTGACTTTCCATCAATTGCAGAAATTCCAGAATCTATTCAATGGATTGAAATTTTTCCTCAACCGAGAGGTTCCTCGAGAGTCACTCGTGTTTGTGATCAGAAGTTTTGGCGGAACTGTTTCGTGGAGTAAATCGCTTCATATCGGCGCCACGTTTGACGAAAACGACGAGACAATCACTCATCAGATCGTCGATAGAGAGGACATTACATCCAAATATATGAACCGATTCTATATTCAGCCGCAATGGGTGTACGACTGCGTCAACGCACGACTCTTACTGCCCGTTCAGAAGTACTTCATTGGAGCCAAACTTCCGCCTCATTTGTCACCGTTTGTAACGGAAGCTGAAGGCGATTACGTTCCGCCCGAACGGCTGGCCCTCAAAAATATGCGGGCAATGGATATCGACGACGAGGAGGCGGAGGAAGAGAGACAGAAAGAGAGTGATGACGAACCCATTGAAGACAAACACAAACATAAGCGACAAAAGGTTGAGAAACCGGTGCCGGGGATGAAGAAAGAGATGGCTGTCAGAGCGGGTGTTGTGAACCGAACCGACAAACAGAGGACTGAGAAACAGCAGGAAAGCGAAGAGAAGAGGTTAGCAGTGATGATGATTCCCAAGAAGAAGAAACGATTGTATTCGAAGATAATGTACGGAAAGAAGAGGAAAGCCAGAGAAGCCGAGAAAATGACGGCTAAGAGGCAACAGTTTGACCGACAAAACCGCGGCAAATAATTTGCCGACAATTTTCCAAATGAATTCTCTCTCACGTAATGTATTTTTGTTTTGAACTACAATTAAAACCAATTATTATAATTGAATGACCCTGGGTTAAATTATTATTTCCATAATTATACAGTTTATAACAAATTTATTGTCATTTAATTTACAAATAAAAACAATACATACTTTAATACAATAAGTTTTTAGGCTTTAAATACAATGCAAATCCCTTCAAACACTTTGTGCTAATTCTTAGTATTTCTGTGTCGAGTGGCGTACGGAGATTGTCGCGAATTCTGGCCGGAATTGGCGTCGCCTTCCTCTTTGACATCCACTTCCATTTTGATGGCACCCGTAGTGCTAGTGTTGGCCACGTTTGAGCTCTCGGTTGTTATTATCTGTGCGCTGGAAACCGTCTGAACACAAATATGACAAACAATTAGTTAACAATTTATAAACTCATGTATTAATAGACAGACCTGTGTTTGCGGGACTCCAGCGCTTTGTGCGGCTCTTATGGCGAACGTAACGGTCTGTGGCTGTGACTGGAGTGAAGTCGTTTGCAGAATTGTCGGCTGACCTGAGATTATAATACTTTTGGGGGCGACAGTGGCAGAGCCGGCGGCCGCCTGCGGACCGCCGCTGGAGACCACTTGAATGTGTTTAACCGTTTGCTGATTGGGTGTGATTTGTGTGACAGCGATGGGCGCCGTGTGTTGGGAGCTCTCAATCACTTGAGTGGTCTTCGACTGAGCGACCGCTTGAAGCAGCGATTGCTGTATTAGTGTAGCGCCGGCTGTAGTGCTGGCGCCGGCCTGTGAGACGTGCTGTCAAAATAGCAAATAAATTATTAACAAATTGTTTTAAAAAAGTGTTGAATGAATGCATACAATAGCGTGAGATATGTTTTGCGGCAAAACGAAGCCTTTATTGATGGCCTGTTGCAACTGTTGCATTGTGACGGTTGTGGGCAAATGTTTGCCCGCCTGTGGCGTCGACTGCCCGGCCGGCGACGACTGGTGTAGTATCTGGAATGTGCCGACGGGTGAGCTCTGTATTTGGGCCGTTCCTTTGACCTGTGCGCCGGCGATCGTAGCGGCGGTCACTTTTTGCTGAGTTTGTTGGCCTTATGTTAGGGACGGGAAGGGAAATACAGAGAAAAAATATTGATTACTTACTGTTGAATGAATGCGAGAGCACTTAATTGTAATAGTATTTGTAATGTCAACAGTGATTGTCCTCACAATTCACTCAAATGTATGGTAAGAACGGGAAAGCATTTATGGTTTTTATACTTTATTTTTGATATTTTTAAATGAAACTTTTTTTGGTTTGATTTTTCTTTTCTTTAACAATATATTTATCTTTTCTTATAATTTGAATTCACTTTTTTTTTGTCTTTTTCTAGTCTTTTGGTGATAATTGATTGATTGGTTTCATTCATTTCATGCATAACTAATAGAGCCGTCACTTATAGAAGACTTTAATTTAATAGCGAAGACTTTAACTCTTTATCTCTTATTCATCTAAACGTAAGATTTATTCATAAATATTATATCAATATTGCGTTCAAATGTTATATCAATTTAATGGGACAACAAATGGACACAAAGTCTCACCTAATTGTTGGCTGAGCTGACTCTGGAGTTGTTGTTGTTGTTGAATGATCTGTTGAGGGCTCTGTTGGGGTCTCTTTTGCTGCAATAACTGGATTTGTCTCAACTGTGTGGCCGACACCGAAGTGATGGCAGTGGTTGTGGCGCCCGAAGCGGTCGGAGACATCACTTTAGTGACGGGAGACGTGAATATATTCATTCCGGCCATTGTTATCGGTATTGTTAACGATTGTGTGGACAGAGTTGCCGGCGATGACAGGGTTTTAACAAATGTGACCGGATTTTGGAGTAATTGTGTTTGCGATTGAGACGCTTGGGTCGGGTGTGAGGCCGACGGCTGGTGAACAAGTATCGGTAAATTACCTGAACTCTGTTGTGACATCTGTTGCCGTTTGATAATCTGTGCCATTTGAACTGGATCAGTTATGGTGCGCGTGATTATCTGTTGCATCGGTTTGCCGGTGGTTGTAGTGGTGGTTCCGATTCGCTGCGGCGTTCCGCTCATGGGAACCGATACAGGCATTGTCGAGACCACGTTTGTCTGCGCCAACGCTTTGACACCCGACTGCGTTCCGATCAGCGATTGAGTGGTGGTGTGTATCGGCGACTGAGCCACTGTGGCTGTGATCTGAAAGCGCTGCTGTTGTCCGACCGCTATTGTCGACATCTGTTTTGCCTGAGGAATGGCTTGCATTTGGATTTGTTGCTGCGGTTGTGGTTGTCTTTGGACGTGTTGTTGCTGTTGTTGGTGGCGAAGGAAAATTTGTTTATATATCTGCTGATTGGGTGTCGCCATACGATTGCCAATCGGATGGCCGCCGATCTGATTGACGGGCGACACCGCCATTATCTTTGAGTGCACCTGAGGTGGAAGTGTGGCCACAGAGACCACAGAACATGTCTGCTGAGAGCCGTCAGTGTTGGTGACAGTGGTTGAGCCGATCTGTTGCGGACTGACACTGATCTGACTGAGTATTGGTTGCGGCAATTGCTGTGAAGTGATGTTGGCGTGAGATAACGCTTTACTGAGATTCAGTTGACTTACGGCAGCGGCGGTGGTCGGCATTCCCTGACTGACGACAGCGCCCTTAGCTATTGTCGACTGGTTTATTGCGCTCATCTTAGCGCTGATCGCTTGCGTCAACTGCTGCTGCGATGTCTGAATGTTAGTGTTTTGCGAGAGAATGGTCTTAATTTGTGTGCTTTGCTGTTGTTTTTGTTGCATCTGTTGCTGGAGTTGTCGAGCGGCCAACTGCTGTTCGGCCATCGCCTTCTGTTTCTCGCGCGATATGCGTTCGGCGCGATTGATGGCCACTTGGATCGGCGAAATCGGTTGCTCGAAGTTTATGCCACTTTCGGACAGCAGAGCGATGTGTTTGGGGTTCTTAGCGGTCGGATTGATGAACATATGCTTCAGAGTCGGTGTCCTTTTGTTTGCGATTTGTTTTATTGTTTCAAATCTTTGGTTATATAACTGACTGAACGTTAGGTTATTGTCTTCGACTATCAATTGACTGGTTTTGATGGGACGGGTGGGAGGAGTGACTGCATTGGCTTTACTGGCACTACTGGTCGACGCCGTGGGCGGAACCGGTGCGGCAGTGCCTGAGGTAATGGGAGGAGTGGGACCTCCTTTCAGTTTCTTTTGCTTTGGTTTAGGAGTGGAAGACTCGGCCACTGATTTGCCCTCTTCTCGGGGAACTATACCCGTGTCGTAGTGATAGCGACACAGTTTGGGTGATCTATAATTACAACTGAGAAGATTGACAACGTCTGACACCAGATCCCAATTGGGCTGATGTCCGGGCGATATCACAGCCAAATTCTGCGGCACATCCTGAAAGTATTGGAGGACATGGAGTACAGCCCAGTCCTCATGAACCGCCCATTTGGGTATCGATTCCTGCAGAGGACTCGCGCTGTATAACTGGGCGGCCTTATGGACGGCTGGGGGCACTGGTGGCGCCGGTGGCATCACAACACTCTGACTGAGTGCGTTCAGTGTCCTATGGATGGCCGCGTTCTCCGGTCCCGAAATGACCACAATCTTCATCTTCTGAAGGATGAGTTCGCGACGAATCTTAATGATCGAAGTGGACGGACGATCGAATAGAGAGCGCGGAATATTGAAACCCTCCTCTTTGCGGGCCTTTTGTTTGCGAGCTATAGTCGTGTCTAATTTGAGTCTCTTATTGGACTCTTTGGGCACATAAATAGGCGGCAATAGAGACTCAGGCATTGGTGTTTGTTCGTAGAGAAAGCCCAACGAATAGTCAATGTAGAGATCATTCTCGTCCTGAGGCGGTGTCGGCGGCGCCCATATCTGTGGCCACAACCGGTAAGAAGCAAACAAACCAATCGTTCATCACATGTGATCGACAGCAACAGGAAGGAGACAACACTTACCGGCATTTGTTCGTAACCATTATATGATATGTACACCTAATTGAAAGAGTGTTACGTTTAAAAATCTTATTTGATATTTAAATCAAACTTTTGTTTTGATTGATCGCCAGAATTGCAAAAAATCTCATTTCTTTCGGTTTTTATTTAAATCAAAGCACAAACAGAGAAAAGGACGACAAGAACTGAAATTGTGTTATAGGGTAAGGGGTGGTCGAGTGGTCGGTCACTCAAAGACATATCAAGTTTTTTAGTCAATTACATGATTGGTGCCGACATTAGAGGACAGGAAAGCCTCACTAAATAAACTATAATTTAAAGACCAAAACACCAAAAGAAATGATTTTCTGCAAAACGACTCACAAAAAATTAAACGCAACTATTCTTTCAATTATATATTCAATTCAATTAACAAATAATTAGAAAGTGTTTTATAAGTCGTCGCCAATTGTTGGCAACAAAATTGAATAAATAAAACAACAATCAAAAGACACCAAAACCTGATATGCAATCGAAAGTGCTTTTAATATTAAATAAATGTTACGCATAAAGAAATGAGACTTTTTTGATTTAATCATTATTATTATTTAATAAATTATTCATTAAATAATGCAATAGTTTTTTGTTTCAATTTATACATAACAACCATTAATAAAGAAAATCAAATAAATTATAACAAATAATTTACAAGAAGAAGACTCAGTGACTGAAACATTTGGAACCGACTCTTGAAATGTGATCACAAATATATATATATTATTATCTTTTGTTAAAAATAGAGACAAACCATGTTTTCCAAGCGTTAATCATTATACCATATGCTTCCTCGTTATAGCTCATGGGCTATAAAGAGGAAGAATACGGTATTCTAATTGAGACATTCGGCTAATAAAATAGTACTTTTATAAAATATCATTAAAAATACAGTCAACGGCTCCGGCGAACAGCATTTGGTGTGCTTATGGTTTGGTTGCCGTTCTCTACGGGTCTCGTAACCATACCTCTACTCTGCGAACGCTTTATATGATTACTACTATTCACATGATTTAAATTATTGTTTACGAATGATTTACTTTTGGATAATTTGTCCGCCGATATAACAGGTGAACGCGGAGACCGTCTGACCCCCTGTGCCGGCGCTTGCGGTCGGTTCGCAACACTAATTGGTTTAACTTTTATATCGTTTGAATTTTGCTTAACATTTGAATTTGATTTCCGATTACTACTGGTATTTGGAGTACTATTACCCCTACTATTAGCTCTTTTTGGTTCAGATTTAACACAATTCTGGCGATTATTGTTAACAATTGGTTTTGTATCTAATTTGGACCGTTTATTGACCTGATTGTAAGCGTCCTCTCTATGGACTGTAAGTAAAGGCTCTCTGTCCTCATCCATGGCTTCCTCACGTCTGAGCGCGTCGTCCTTTTCGGCGTCTATTCGTCTCAATTCCCACTCCTGTTTGTGCGCTTCGATCTCCTCCTAAACACAAACAGTCCAATCATTGTTTCATCCATTTGTGGCCACAAAACGAGTTGATTCATTAGCAATACAAACCTCTGCCTGTTTGAGCTGTTCAAAGGAAACCGACTCCTGGAGTACTTCTAATAATTTCATCGCATACTTCTCCACAGGTGTCAGCTATGAATACATAAGCAATTCATACATTTAATTATTTGTCTATAAAAAATCATTACTTAAAACGTTATTTATAGAAAATTAAGACAAAACACTCTATCATAAGAGAAAAGGCATTACAGTTAATAATAATTTGTTAACCATTTCGGGTGACCTCTAATTATACGTTATGAACAAAGCAGAGGCGCATAAATCAAAGGCTAAATTAATTTACGAGAACTTTAGCACTCGTTTGACACTATTCTGTCCTTGCCGGCGCTTGCGGTCGGTTCGCAACACTAATTGGTTTAACTTTTATATCGTTTGAATTTTGCTTAACATTTGAATTTGATTTCCGATTACTACTGGTATTTGGAGTACTATTACCCCTACTATTAACTCTTTTTGGTTCAGATTTAACACAATTCTGGCGATTATTGTTAACAATTGGTTTTGTATCTAATTTGGACCGTTTATTGACCTGATTGTAAGCGTCCTCTCTATGGACCGTAAGTAAAGGCTCTCTGTCCTCATCCATGGCTTCCTCACGTCTGAGCGCGTCGTCCTTTTCGGCGTCGATTCGTCTCAATTCCCACTCCTGTTTGTGCGCTTCGATCTCCTCCTAAACACACAAACATTGTTTCATTGAAATCATTGTTTCATCCATTTGTGGCCACAACACGAGTCAATTCATTAGCAATACAAACCTCTGCCTGTTTGAGCTGTTCAAAGGAAACCGACTCCTGGAGTACTTCTAATAATTTCATCGCATACTTCTCCACAGGTGTCAGCTATAAATTCATAAGCAATTCACACATTTAATTATTTATCAATAAAAAATCATTACTTAAGAGTCTTAAGTTAAGACGTTATTTATAAAAAAAATTAAGACAAAATACTCTATTATAAGAGAAAAGGCATTAATAATAATTTGTTAACCATTTCGGGTGACCTCTAATTATACGTTATGAACAAAGCAGAGGCGCATAAATCAAAGGCTAAATTAATTTACGAGAACTTTAGCACTCGTTTGACACTATTCTGTCCAAAGAGTGACTCTAAGCCTCGATTACAATCAAAATACTAAACATATTCAAAAGTATTCATTACCTGATGAATGATTTCATCGATCTTTTCTTCTTCGGGACTCTTCTCTTCCTCTCTATTGTCGACATCGAGTGGAATGTTTTCGTCGAATTCCGCAAACTCCGCGGCCGCTTCAGCGCCGGCTGTCTTAGCAGCGGCCACATCGTTGTCCTCTTCAACAGTTCCCAACGCCTGTTCTAATTGTAAATCAAAGTTGGGATCCATTTCGTCAACGGGAGGGGCGCTAATGGGAGCCACGCTTTGGCCATCAGTCGACGGCAAATCAATGCCGAAGAGTTCCTGAATGGCGTTCTGCTTGAAGAAAGCGGTGGTAAAGTTGCCGCCTTCGATGGCAAGACTGCCCAACAGCTTCTTCTGCTGAGCCTTCTTCAGAATATTCTCTTCGATTGTCATTTCACTAATGAGTCTATAGATGTGGACATCTCTGGTCTGACCGATGCGATGGCACCTGTCCTGCGCCTGCGCGTCCATCGTTGGATTCCAGTCGCTGTCGTAGAATATCACAGTATCGGCTCCCGTGAGGTTCACACCGACGCCACCCGAACGCGTCGACAGAATGAAACAGAAGATACGTTTGTCGGCGTTGAACCGCTCCATCAGCGCTTGTCTTTGCTCTATTTTGGTGGTGCCGTCCAAACGCAGATATGTGTGGCCGTTATGGTTGAGGAACTGTTCAAATATGTCCAGCATTCGCGACATTTGCGTGAATATCAACACTCGGTGTTGACCCGTCTTCAGATCCCACAGCAATCGGTTCAATGTTTGCAGTTTTCCGCAATCGTATTGAATAAGTCTGAGTTCTGGGAATTGAGTTCGCATTTGAGAGACTGGTATTTGCAATACATCTAAACGATCGGACAAATGATGGCTGAGTTGAGCGCTCAGTGTCTCGATTGACGTCCTCTTGGAGGGCGGCAAATGCGAGGCATGCAGTCGTACGGGTGATGTCATTACGCGCGGAACTATACATATAAAGCGTCGCAACACTTCCTTCAACTCATCCACAACTTTGTCGGGCGTTTTGATCATATCATTCAAAGAGTCCGTAAACATAGAGTGGTGTTTGCGGTGTTCACTATAATGTGGCGCTAATAATGCATTCAGATATCCGTTTCCAATGCTGTAGACATTAGAGCCGAAGGGAACAGAACGCGTCAAATACTTGGGGCTATTGTTGATCGTCGAGACCTCAATCAAGTCAGAGGCGTATAAAGCGGTTGCGCAACACTTGCGTTGATTAATACGCGACAAAAAAGTGAGTTTATCTTTACGTTCAGACAATTGTTTGGCCAGTAATGAGGGCTTTCGATATGACACCGAAGCGGATCTGTTTATAGAGCTGACCGACTCTTGACTGTTAGCAGCGCCTGTCAATGAAAAAGGAAAGGGTGTTATAGTGTGGCTGACATTTGCTGATTCGACATATCAGGTATGGATGTGTCAAATGGATGGGTCAGTAGTTTATTTGTGAGACACTGGAAACTGTCAATAATGCGGTAAATCATTGCTAACAGTATGGGTTATGTCTCAATTGACAATAAGATGACCATTTGATTCAATACATACCGACAGCGTTGGGGGTGACGGCGCGGACAATGATTTGTCTCATTGGGCTCTGCTTTACAATGGATTGTGGAATAGTGGACGAGACGGGAGTTGCTGTCGACGTTCGCAACAGTATGTGAGGACCGGTTGGCGTTTGAACTAAACGACCCAAAGGTATGGCAACTCTATTGCCTATAAAAACAAAACAAAAGCCAAATAAAACAAAAGTTATATAAAAAACAATCAAAAACACAAACCATCAGCTGATGAGGTAGTGGTAGGTGTGGTGGGAGTCTTGGAAATGGGAGACATTAAAAACTTTTGATCACTATTTCGATGAGTGGCAGGAAATGAGGGCAGAGATGGCGGGTTTGGGAGCGGTTTTGGCGACTGATTTGCGGAATGCATTGTAGAGGTTCTGATTTGGAGACGAATCTTCCCGCGCGGACACTTCGGCGGCGGTTCGGGCGCCGAATCAATCTCTTGGATCAGCTCCGGCGACGTCATGAAGCGTACGATGCGGTGGTGAGCAAAAGCGCTCAATGAGAACGACAGGTCCGACAAAATCAAATTCAGAGAATTGAGATTTACGTTACGCAACGGGTCGTAGTCGAGAGCAGTGGTGACCAGCGATGCCGTCTCGTATGTGAGCGGTTCAAACATGAAGGGCGAGACAGTGGGTCGCGGGTCGAAGAGGTTCGGGTGATTACATACTTTCCGCAATTGCATCAGTATATTGATTACACTCAAGAAGTTACCCGACATTAGAGTCTCTTTTGTTCTGCGATACAAAGCAATTAAAAAACAAAATCAATTACAATTAGATTTTAATAAACAAATAAATAGTTCGTAACAATAAAACAAAACAATTACTTTCTAAGTGACATAAACTCTTCGTATAGGAACCGTTGCCGTTTAGACAAGTGACACATAACCACGTGTTCGTATTTCTTTGGCAATTGTTTCTCGACATCGCATTTGAGTCGCCGCAGAAGGAAAGGCCGAAGAACTTTGTGCAGACGTCTAATGAGTCCCTCATTGTATTCGCTGTTCCCCTCAACCATTCCGGTCACGGGATTCACGAACCAATCCTTAAACTCTTTGTGCGATTGGAATACGTTGGGCATCAAGAAGTGCATCAGTGACCACAACTCCATCAGATTGTTCTGCAGAGGAGTTCCCGTCAACAGCAGGCGTCGCGATGTATTAAAATTGAGAAGCATTTGCCATCTCTGGGACTTGAAATTCTTGATGTGTTGCGCCTCGTCTAAGATCAAGTACTTCCACTTCTTGCGCCGAAACGACGTGTGATCTTGTATTACAAGTTTGTATGATGTGATACACACGTGAAACTGATTCGGTTTCGTCCAACCCTTTAATACATACAAAAATATTCAATTAATAATTTGTTAACCATTAGCCCACTGGAGATTAATATGCAATACTTGTTTCGTCTCCGCGTATTTAGTTTCCGATTTAATTAAATGCTCTTGAAATCGTGAGCAAACTGTGATAAGACAGGTTTCAGTGACTCTAAGCCTCGATAAAAATCATTTTCAAAATCAATTAGCAATTCTCACCTGACGTTTGAGTTTTCTCTCTTTAGGACTTCCATAATATGTCAGTATTTTGAGTGCCGGACACCACTTCTTAAACTCCATTTCCCAGTTAAGCATAACACTAGTGGGCACTACAATCAGATGTGGGCCCCAAATACCCTTTTCAGTGGCCAAATGAGCGATTAATGCAATCGTCTGAATAGTCTTTCCCAAACCCATCTCATCGGCGAGAATGCCATTCAGTTTCTTGTCCTGCATCGCCGCCAACCAGTCCAGGCCTATGTGTTGGTACTCCCGGAGCTCGTGTTTGATCAAAAAGGGAACATTTGTGCACACTTTCACTGTCGATAGGTTTATGCCTTTCGGCTGAAGACTCTCGGCGTCGCCCGCGATATCTGTTATCTCACGATTCGGGCCAATAGTGGGCTTCTTCTCGTCGGTCACCTCCTAATGAAATACACAAAAAAAGTGTCTCAACTCTCAGGTCTCGCAATTATACCAAAAAAATATTTGCGGTGTTTTTAGAGCAGACTTTCAATATTCCCCTTCAAATAAAATTCACAAACAAACCAAAAGAGTTATTTGTGAGGCGTTGGGAAGGGGTTCCGCTCTAATTAACCCTCAAATACCCGATTCTTACCTCAATTAATGGTTTTCTAATCGAGTGGTTGGCGTCCGGATTAATAAGAAACTCCATTCCTATTTCGCCGCCCTCTTCCTCGGTCGACATGTCCTCCTCATCGGACACCTCGTCGTCGCACTCTTCGGACGCTGTATTGTCCACTTCTTCGCTCTCTTCATCGATGTCGTCGTCATCGCTGTCTAACTCACTCCTATCGACCGATCCGTACATCTTTGCCAACAGCTCTTCTATAGGAACGTTCATATCGTCGTCCAATTCCTTAAGCTCTGCCGAGTGATCGATCGCTCCTTCTTTCTCTTCTTCCTGTTCAATGGTCTCCTCTTCGTCTTCGACTAGTTCTTCGTCCGACACTTTAAAATCATTGTCTTCGCGCTCAATAGGATCTTCAGTTGTCTCGCCAACTGATCCCTCAATGAGCCCTTTGGGCAACAGATCTTCGAGTGGTATTTCACTCTCTTTCTGCAACAGTTCTATCTCTGACACACCGTCGCCAACCCCGACCTCTTCCTCCTCCTTAGCGATGGTCTCTTCGTCGTCTGATTCGCTATTTTCGGGTTCAAACTCGTTATCAATCGGCTCATCGCTGGCGACGCTATCACTGGTAGTCAACGATTTGCCAAATTCGGCGGTCAGTCGTTCCGTATATCTGTCGGCTTTGTCGACAATGAGGTTGAGATGCATATCATGTAATTTCTTGCGCTTCTCCTTCAGGCGGACCTCTTGTTTCGCTTCAAACACTTTCTCGACGTCCGACCAAAAGGTCTTCACTTGTTTGGCAATATTGGACGCAATCTTTTTCATTCGCAAGAGTTCTTCGCGTTCCGCGCGTTCGGCGAAACACTGTTTGTCCGAATGATATTTCATCACCATTTTGGCGCACTTCTTGGCCGCAGCCTTCTTCCACTTCCTTTCCTGCGCGAAATCCGTGGCCAACCATTGCATCTCTTCCAAGAGGTAATCCCAATGCGTTTTGCGTCGCATCGGTTCCTGCACTTTGGGCAGCCGTCGGCCCGACCACAAGCCATTCTTTCGCAGTTCGGCCACTCTCTGCACGACATGCGCCTCTTGTTTCGCCTTCTCTACGATCTGGTCCTGCGTTCCGAGGGCTGTGTCGTAGAAGGAAGAGATCGAGTGCTGTCGTGTCGGATGCCGTGGAGACACAGCCTGACCGGCACTTCGGTTCCCAGACTGCGAAGCAGTTTGAGATAAGACCGGTGTCAGCGTCGGCCCCAACGGCGGCAATGAGTGACTCGTTTTGGGCGTCAGAGGTGTTAATGGAGACAAAACGACCGGCGGTTGAGTTATCGCCGGTGAGGGCAAAGAAGTGGTAGATATCGCCGACTGATCACAAGGGGCTGACGCGACGGCCAAAGCGCTACTCGAGGCAGCGTTAGAGGCGGCCATCACTTGAGCGGCTGCGGCGGCAAAGGAGGCGGGAGAGGGCGCCGGCGACGAGTGGTCGCCGAAAGCCATACCATCGGCCGATTGGCGGCTCTGATGGCTTACATCGAGCGACAGTTTCAGACTAATGAGCTCTTGGATCTCGTCATCGGGTATGGGTTTCTGTTGAGAGGCTGAGCGCAAGTATTGGATCAGTTCGGCGGCCGTCAGCCGTTTCCGAAAGCCGTAAAAGTCGATCAAATTTCCGTTCGTCTCCAAGAGATACAACTCCAGAATGTGATCCAAATACGACTCCCGAAGACGTCTCAACTCCGCCGACAAGTGTGTCATTAAGTAATCGCCGGACATATCGGTGTCGATGGCGGCGGAAGCGGTCGCGGGAGTCGACGGCATCGTTACGGGTGGAGAGACGGCGACGGGTTGTGTAGTGTTTGACACAAACAATATATACTATATTTTACACCAAATAATATTTACAAAAACAAAAGAGTCGGTCATTGAGTGGTCATTGAGTGGCCAATCAGTGGTCACAACACGTGTTATATTTCAATGGCTTTTTGTTTTTCGCATTTATATTACAATCGCTTTTCGATACGTAATTCACGAACGCATCGACGGCTCGAATGACTCATCGATTGTGTGGTTCGTGTCGTGGGATGTGTTGGCGATCGCTATTGTCTTCATTGTCTTCATCGGCGGTAATGCGAAAGCAATGAGTCATTGGTTTTCAACGTTTCGTTGCATTCATTCATTGCATTCGCTTTCACTTTGTGTTCAATTGAATGCCATTTTGTGTCGGATATGGAAATGAATGGCAAAACCATTGAAAGCATTCGCTTTTCAATCACTTTCAATGCTTTCCACAATCCTTTGTCCGTTCACTCAATACATGATACAAATTACGTCCACTTTTGTTACAACACTTCTTTACTCCCTTTCTCTGCCCCCTCTATAAGATTGTGTCCACTCTTTGATGATTATCATCAATAAGCGGATCCGTGACAGAGATATGTCATGATTATAATTATAACAAATTATTTTTAAAAAATTAATGCAGTATTTATTAAGTTATGTATTAAATGTAATGTAAAATATGCTTCAATACTGTGTTAACTCAATAGTTAATGTTTAGTGAATGTAAAGCACATCTGATACTAATAGTTAACCCCTTTATTAAAATAGTAAACTAACCCAACATTTCTACCCCAACCTAACCTAACATCTCTGTAAAATAATTGTAGTGTATTTACAATTAACGTAATTAATAATAATTAACAAACAATTAGTTTTGAAATAATATTTTATAGCATAAAATAAAATAATTTTTCCAAACAATTATAAAAAATTTTACGTACAAAACTTAAAACTTTCACGTGTTTTAATTCAGAACTTTTTTTTCTAACTTTTTAATTTAAAACTTTTAAAATGAATTTTTTTTGTAATTGTAAATCTAGTTTTCATTCTCCTATTCTTGTAATTAAATAATAAATATTTAGTTTAATATGAATTACAGATCAGAAACACATGGTTTGTAGTGAAATATAATAGCATTCACTTTGGGATCAAATGAAAGCCAATCACCAGAGCGTAACAGAAGTGGTTGAGCTCCCGGGGCTCACTGTATTGTATACAATACACTGTATTATGTACAAAAATATGTTCATGGTAACATTTCTACGGTTATGGCATAGGTATGGTATTTGAGCCCTGTTTTCAATTCACGCATCACTTGCTTTTCTAATGTTAAATGAAATATTTCTTTGCATAAAAACTTTTCTATACTTTAATAGTGAACTCAATGTTTAATTCAAGCAAAAAAATCAATGAATTTGATTTAAAGTGCATTTTAATTGTTGTTATAAAATGAATTATCAAGCATTAAGTCCTGTATTTTATAATACATTTTTTCATAGATTTATGTTTAAAATGCAAACAAAGTTAACGCAAATATTTGGTATTTGATGTAAAATAAATAAATTACACGAAAAAAGTGTTTTGTAACAAAAAAGTGTCGAGTGTTTCACAAGTGGTTTACTCTCTCTTGTATTGAATAAAATTAATAAATTGTAGATTTTTGTAATGCATTGCTTAACACAAAGTTTAAGGTTTGTTCAAAACGTCGGTTATATAACTTACACAATGTATTTGTTATTTACTTTGAAATTATGTTAAGAACAGAGAATAGCATTGATTTGGAAAAAACAAGAAATGTTTGCAAACTTTATTAAAAACTATTTAAAAGTTTAGGAAAAAAATCAGCGGAAAAGTAGTTTATAAGTCAAACGGACTTAAAAAGACCTATATTTTCATAGATTTGAAATCCATATAAGGATTAAACGCTATTTAAATCACGGGAAAGAGAGACCATAACCATAAATAAGACTCAATAGGTTTTAAGCATAAAAATGTAGTGAATATTAATGACAAAAAAGTTTCAAAACTAATGGCAAAAACATAATAAAGTGGAAGAATATTATATGCAATAATTGTTTGCAGAAAAGGAGAGGAAATTCTTGAAATAGTAATACGAGAAGAATTCGCATGTCCTCAGGGGGTCGGGGGTAAGGGGGCTGTGACTCAGCCATAGTATGTAACTTAACTATAACAGTGTAGCACCGGGTCTACCAGTGTATTGAGCCCCTCTCTCCCCAAACAATTGCATTCATAGGCTTTGAAAGCAAGAAAAAAAAACTTTTTTTAGATACTTTTTGTGTTACGCGACGATCACAACAAATATGAGACACAAATGCCTAGCCTTTCGGTCATATAAGACATGGGATGTGATAAAAATAAAGTGAAAATTAATGAATGACATTAAATTGTGTGTCTAATAGTAGTGATAATCTCCAGTCTCTCTCTCTCTCTCTCTCTCTCTCTCTCTCTCTCTCGCACTGAGCCCTCGGGCTATACATTAGCTATGAATTAATGTGTTTAACGAGAAATATATGGGACACCAAACCAAATATATAGGACACCACAACATCGGCCGATCGCAAACAGTGTTACGTTTANCTCTCTCTCTCGCACTGAGCCCTCGGGCTATACATTAGCTATGAATTAATGTGTTTAACGAGAAATATATGGGACACCAAACCAAATATATAGGACACCACAACATCGGCCGATCGCAAACAGTGTTACGTTTAGTCCACCAAAAGTGTCCCCCAATGCGAGGGCTCTGCGGGTAAACGAGTGCACAAACCCCTCAACATAGAGAACTCGTTGGACGAGTGACTGTATGTGTGAACAGAGACTGTTGTGAACGTCTATTATATGACAACAATTTTTTTTATAGTGATTACAAGAAGTGTTCAAACGATAAGCACAACAACACAACCAAATCATTGTCACATTTGTTGCCATTGTTTGCAATCAATAAGTGTTTGGTTTAATGCTTTGAATCCCAGAAACAAATGCTTTGAAAAATTGAGAGATAATCGCCACAAGAAGAAGAAGATAATAAGAGTCACACAACGCTTCCCATTGCCATTGAATGGCGTTTATTGTCGCTGCGATATATCACGCTATGGATTGGTGGCACTCATGAGTGCACTGACAATGTCTTCGCCATTATTATCGTCTGAATTGTAGCGTCAATTGAAAGGACCCAATGATGTCGTCGTCTGGGCCTCAGCCGATTCTCGCACTGAGCCCTCGGGCTATACATTAGCTATGAATTAATGTGTTTAACGAGAAATATATGGGACACCAAACCAAATATATAGGACACCACAACATCGGCCGATCGCAAACAGTGTTACGTTTACTCCACCAAAAGTGTCCCCCAATGCGAGGGCTCTGCGGGTAAACGAGTGCACAAACCCCTCAACACATAGAACTCGTCAGACGAGTGACTGTATGTGTGAACAGAGACTGTTGTGAACGTCTATTATATGACAACAATTTTTTTTCTAGTGATTACAAGAAGTGTTCAAACGATAAGCACAACAACACAACCAAATCATTGTCACATTTGTTGCCATTGTTTGCAATCAATAAGTGTTTGGTTTAATGCTTTGAATCCCAGAAACAATTGGTTTAAGAAATCGGGAGATAATCGCCAGAAGAAGAAGATAATAAGAGTCACACAACGCTTCCCATTGCCATTGTATGGCGTTTATTGTCGCCCGCTATATAGTGCGATACCTAACCACCGTGAGTACTCACGTGACTGTTACAGAAGCGGTAATAATAGCAGACTTAACATCGCAGTTAACTTTCCTGGGTTACTACAGCAGCAGACCCGGAGTCGGCTGTGGTCGTCGCGGACGCGATGGTCAGGTGGCCAGCGGTGGTGGAGGAGGCGCTCCTCCAGAGACCAGTTGTTGTAACTTAAGGACAATCTCTTGGGACCACAAATACATAGCGTTATGCCTATTGTGTGGCACTGTTTCCACACTAATCGGGTCTCTCATTGTCATAATCTATGCAATGATTCGCTCAAACACTTCATCTCTTCAGTACTTCGAGACAATTCCCTCATATATTGTCGCCATTTTGGTAATGATTGTCGCCTTAAGACAAATTGTTTATCGATTGCTTGTTATTAATGATATATCTCTTGTGGTATTTGCAGCTCATATTCAATGGTTTACTCGTAACATCTTTCGCAAAAAGCAAATTAAGATTTGCACTATTGGTATGTATTTGATGGTTAAGATATCACTTGTCAATTGGTCTAAAATCATTATTTTTAACGCTTATGTCAACTGAACAACAGGTGAAAGCGGTCGGTGGTCTCTATTTGGTGACCCGAAACCACTCACAACACTACTGACAGTGGTGTTGACAAGAGGTATACTTAGCTGACGTTTGTGTGCTAGTCACATAAATATGCGGTTCTTAGTCCTCGACATGTACGTAAAGTAGAGGTGACAGGTACGGACCAAATGGAGAGATCAACCGTTTGTTGACAATAATTCATGTGTATCTCATTGTCTCATTTATATCTCTTTTTTTGTCAACAGTTGGTCATCACATGACTTTCGATGAGATAATGGACTGCGATGTGGTTCACGGCTTACTGTTCTCGTGTCTGAGAGGACTGTTCGGTCTATCGGTGTTCGCGATACTGATGTGTATTTTCTCACTAATGCTTGTCTACCAGTTGTTGAGCCATCAAAAGAAGAAGAAATATTTGCAACAATTAGAGCTGAGGAGACGATTCGCGGTCCAGAGTCGAGGCTTCGGTGGCAACCATTCCTCTGCGTACGTCTCGACACACGTTTCGCCCATAATATTGAGCCAAAATACTCACCGAAACCATTCGTTAAGACACTTACCGTACGGTTCTTACGGCGAGGATCTGTCTCCCAATGGTTGGTGTCTTCCCCCGCATTCGTACGACTATTTAGACAGTCGTTCACACAATAGACACTTCGACGACGAGATTCGCTCAAACGTCGGCATAATGTCCAACACTCGATCAAATTCATGGACCAATTGGTTGAATTGGCCGCGAAGTCAGATCTGGTCGTCCAATAATCATCACGTGTCCAATCAGAACACGAATCGGGGATTTTTTGCCGATTTGTTTCGCAGACATAACAGTAATAATAATATTGGACCAATTGGTTGAATTGGCCGCGAAGTCAGATCTGGTCGTCCAATAATCATCACGTGTCCAATCAGAACACGAATCGGGGATTTTTTGCCGATTTGTTTCGCAGACATAACAGTAATAATAATAATTTAAACAATAATAATAATAGAGAGACGAGTGATAGGAATTGCAGTCACCAGATATGGAGACACCCTTCGGGGCAAAACTTTCTGCCGCCGCACGTATTCATTCCGCGCATCGGTTCGGGCGGTCTCTCACCGCTACCGCAACATCTGTTACGCTATCATCGCGACAGTCATTTGAGGCCATCTGTAATGCGAGCCATGAGTTCCGCTCACCGGAGGACGCGATCCAACGATGGAATATTCCAACACATGAATGTGCAGCACATGTCGATCGACCCGGCGTTCAGTGCGGGCACTGCAACGGTGGCCAACACTAACACTACAAATATGTTTGCCATATGGGGTCCGCCGCCACCCTATACCTGCTCACAGCCGCAGTCTCTGAACCGTATTAATACCATTTGCAATAATATGAACCACTCATCCGGAGGTCAACACTGCCGTCAGGCGAGTGTCCACTCGTCAGACGTGACGCCGACCTCTAAGATGAGTACTCCTCTGTCGGAGAGACGTCTCCGTTGTAACGCATTCTCATCGCAAGGCATACGACTGACCATTGAGGCCAACGATCAGCTCATAACAAGTCCCGAATCTAAAAGTTCCTGTATTGTGGAGATACACGTCCCGTACAGCGAAGACCACCCGAACCATGACATGAATGTTTTGGATCACTTGAAAAGCGGTCACAAAAAGTCACAAAATTTGAGTTTCAATACAATGCCGTCAATGAAAAGGTCGGATCACTTGCAGCCAATCAATCCGTTTAAGAGTTTGTCAAACATTCCGATCGTATTTCCGGCCAATTCGCCGAAAAATAGTGGTTTTACTGATTCTGAACTCGAATCAAACAAATCAAAACTCGAGACCATTCAACACGTCTATCGGTCGCAAGTTTTTGATCCCAAATCGTTGTCCAACAGCTCATCGACGCCAATGTCTACCACACGCACCACAACAGAGTTGTCCTCCGAGTTGTCCACTTATAATCACATAACCGACGAATCATTCTCTGCCGACAGCTTTCCAGTCGATCCGCCGACCGATTATAAGTCAACACTAATAATACAGACGCCAAACACACAATCGAGTCCATTGACGGACGACAAGAGCAGCACAAATGTGGCCCAAAGACATGCCATCAACGGCTCCAAAGAGATGGATAATCTGCGGCTGAATAGCGCCCAATCGATGCCAAACCTGAGTTGCATTATTCCCATCTCTTCCTCCAAGTCGACCACATCTACGCGAACGCAACCAAACTTCTGGGAATTGTATAGAATTCCGTCGAGTGGTAACACATCCACATCGCAAGACTTGGCCGACTTTGAGCTTGATTTAGACGAGGAGTCCATCAAAATGGCCGCTGATTTGCCCAACGATTACCCGATGAAGGCTACGATGAAAGCCTCCACTGATTTGTCGCCCGCAAAGTCAAGTTCTGAGGGAACGACGACAGCGTCACTGACGCCGGAGCTCTTGAAACCTCCGACACCTTTCAATAACCAGAACTTTAGCGATAAAACCCAATCGACGTCTTCGACGGCAACTCTATCCTCTCTAAGCGAACCCAAAGCGGAGCTAATAATCAATATTAAAGGCATTCAAGTCTGAGAAGTATTAATAATTTATACTCAAAGGGTTTTGTGTGTTATTTCTTTGAATTGAACGAATGATTAGAGAATTGAATTTTGTTTTACAATTAAGTTTATGTTATTATAAAACATATTAATTGACAACTTTTTACTCACATTTATTCTGAGTGAACGTCTTCTCAATATTTCCTATTGAATATTGATTTGAGTTTTTTTTGCTGTTTGTTATTAATAGCGATAATTGTTTTCAATTTGTATTATATCTTATATACACGACCAGAATATTCCTGTTTTTTGAGTATATTATATACACCAATAATAATCTCATTTTGATGTTTAATGAATGCAACAAATTCTTTGAATCGATTTGTTTTTGATATTTGTTCACATGATTTGTCTGATTATTGCTAGTCTTTGCGCCCATTTCTCTCCAATTCTCGTTTGAATTTCAATCACTACTTAACACTATTCGAGTCATACACTCAATATAATGATTGTTTTTCTGTATATTTTTGTATTTAACTATTTTTTCTGTTTGAAAGTCAATAACTATTTGATGACGAAAATCAATGCGAATGATTGGCCATATATTTTGGTCCAAAGTTAGACACTTTCCGATAATTGAATTAATAAAATATATTTTGTAAATATATCACTAAAACAATAAATCAATTTTTTGTTTAGTTTCGCATTTTATTCATAAATAAAAACAATTCATTTAAAAAACTTATATATAATTCTTAATCCATAACTCAGTTCAACAGATTGTGTTATATTAGAAAATTGCAATTAAATATACCATAAAATATCATTTCTTTATAATCTGTACGACATCTTCGTGATGGACGACCTGAACAGTGGTGGGCAACAAGAAAACACCAATCAATCCATCAGTAGTTTGTATTCATTTCTATCTATACTTACATGCGTTAAACCAACCCTTTGTGGACTGTATTTAGTACTCGTTCCCTAAATATGTGACACAATTGTGTTAAACATTGGACCCGAAGTTAGTATTAAATGTGTGAACGCATACCCAAACCAATGCATATTTAAATGTTTCGGCAATACTTCGATGAATAGTATGGCAAACGTGTTCAACAGTGGAAGCGCGACGCATAATCAGACCGTCTTCAAAGTCGGGCGGTTCTGACAATTATATCAATACATGTTTAGCAATTGAAACTAAAATGTTGAGCTCTCTCTCTCTCTCTCTCTCTCTCTCTCTCTCTCTCTCGACATTACTCACGGCCTCTCTTTTTGGTGTAGACCTGAATGAGACCCAAGTGTTCCCATATCTTGTCTAACATATGGTCTAAATTGAGTTTCATATTACAGCTGACGACTACACTGTGCGGCTGTCGGGCGAGTTGTGTTAAACATTGGACCCGAAGTTAGTATTAAATGTGTGAACGCATACCCAAACCAATGCATATTTAAATGTTTCGGCAATACTTCGATGAATAGTATGGCAAACGTGTTCAACAGTGGAAGCGCGGCGCATAATCAGCCCGTCTTCAAAGTCGGGCGGTTCTGACAATTATATCAATAAATGTTTAGCAAAATTAAGAGCTCTCTCTCTCTCGACATGTGAGTGCCGGAGAGAAAAACCACATCTGGACTTACTCTGGGTTCACAAGGGTATAGAACAGATTGTATACCAGATTTAACTCAAAGTATAATGTCGACTGCTGATGTGACACGCCGACAGCCCGCTCTCGGTCCACCTCTTCCATCGAGATCTGATCGATTTTGTTGTATATGTAAAGACACGACAAATACACCCGATTCTTAAGCACCACATCAAGCAAGTCGTCGACAGAACTGTCTTCGCGGAACAGAATCTCGGCGTTAAATATCTCTATTAATGTTAGGAAAAGACAACAAAATTAAAACCAACTCTCAATACTACTCTCAGGACACGAACTGTATTCATGTAAAACCAATTGAACCAATTTCTCATCGCATTTAGTGAGAGGACACGTGGCGTTGAATGATATGCCGCCCGTTTTCTTCTCCTAAACAGCCGTCAAATTAATCAAAAACAATATAAAAGTGACAATCAATGGCTCAAAATATGATACTAAACCTTAAAGTATAGATTAGGTGGACGTCTGTTAAGCCGAATGCCGACCGATTCCAACTCCTTCTCCAACAGTTCCCTCTGGATTTCGCTTTTGGTCGCGTCTAACATAATGATCACCAGATCGGAGGTTCGCGCCACAGCTATCACCTGACGACCTCTACCCTTACCTATCAATTAAAACACATCATAATTAGGCCATAATTAGACACCACTTGATATAATGCATACCCTGTGCGGCCCCCTCTATAATACCGGGCAAATCAAGTAATTGAATGTTTGCCCCCTTATAGTGAATAACTCCCGGAATACACGTTAATGTCGTGAACTCATAAGAGGCGCACTCGCTGTGAGTGTCGGTCACTGTATTCAATAGAGTTGACTATAAATGCAATTTAAAAATCATTACAATTAAGGCATTCATTGAAGCGGTGGTCAAAACGAGTGGACATACCTTTCCGACGGATGGGAAGCCGATGAGTGCGACCCTCGCGTCACCGCTTTTCATCACCTAATCATCAATAATACAGACAATTGTTAACAATATCTTAACGTACAACTGATCCAATGGTCACTCACATCAAAGCCCTCGCCCTTCGCCGATGATTTGGTGGTCGGTTCCAGTAGTTGTGCCCTATATTTGGCTAACTTGGCCTTCAAGACTCCCAAATGGTATTCAGTGGCTGTAATTATCATACAATTAGATCCAAATATCAATAATCGGTGACCAAAACAAGTGAACAAACCCTTATTCTTCTGAGTCCTAGAGATTTCTCTCTCGATTTCGGCGATTCTGTCCAAAATACCCATTCTTTTAGTCTTTCGATAATCAAATCAATGGCCAAAAAGCGGATCCAAACGTGTGTTAAGTGTTGTCTTTGATAGCAATTTGTGTCCCAATTGTGTGAATGAAATGATTTGATTTGTGTATACTTACGTTACTTACTGTTGTGCACACTCTGAATTGTGTGTAAGTGTAGTTAAGTGTGTTTGAATTGCAGTTTTAAAGTTAAGTACAAAACGAAACATAAGTAACTTTGAAAAAAAATGTAACAAAAATAAAATAAAAATCACCATGCTGCTCCTATTTTACTTTTAATTGCAATTTATTTATATTGATTTATTAAATTTATGCATAACTGTATTAAAACAGACAAAATTACAAACATTTCACTGTATAATTGATAGAAAGGTATTTCAAAGTATTTGCAAACTTTCAATACTAACGAAAACTTTGGTAAGTTTTTTGGTGACACTTCTGTGGATGAATTGCGAGAAATGAGAACTGAAAGCAATTGTATTGAGTTGTCGTATATTGAGATCAATTTGAATTAAATACAGAATTTTTGAAAAAAAAACATTTGTTTTAATGTTAAACACTTTGAAATTCCGAAAAATTATTTCCTTTTTGCCATTCATTTTGGATACTTTTAAGCATTTATAAAATTTTTAATATTCAAAATAAATAATAATGTATAAAATCAATGAATTATAATTTGTTTTATATTAAAATTGATATTATATTTGAAAATAAAACTTCAGTTGATTAAAAATTATAATAATTATTATAACACAAAGTGCTTGAATAATTTGCTTACTTTGGAATCCAAAGTTTGGATAATACTTACTGTCCTTTTTTTAAAATTATAAAACAAAATATTTAGTAAATTAATAAATAATTATTCAAACAATTAAGTTATTTTATATTTGATTACTATTTATTTAAGTTTTATATATTCAATGGTTTCGAGTTATAGAAATAATTGATTAGTTTTTTACTGATTATCACAAACAATATTATTGCAGATTTTTGTTTCACACATTATTCTATAAATATTAAGTACAGAATCGTTACAATAATTTTAAAAAATAAATATTAATTGCAAATTCATGTTAAAATTGAATTAAAAAAACTTATGTGATCTTGTTAATACATCTTGTACAAATTGAGTGTTTAGTATTAATTCAATACAAACGTGCGGTCTATCTATTAGTAAATAATTAGCTTCAGTTATAATTTACCGACAAATTAATACATTTAAATAAAATTATTGAGACTTTAACTGTAAATTGATTACAAATATTGGTGAAAAACAAGTTGACTGTAAAAATAAAATAAATGACATTTTTATAACAAATTATATCACAAATTGAAATGATATTCTGTAATCATTAACTCATTTGTTAATTAGCTAAAAATTTGTACATAAATTGCAATCAAAATGTGTTATAAATAATGAATAATATTATTATGTATTAATATACGTATAATACGTTATTATTATTAATAACTCGCATACTATTCATACCGTACTATAATGTAATTGTCATTAAAACTAAATGTCTTTTTGTTTTAAAAATGATATATTTCTGAAAAAAATAATTACCAAAAACTTGTTTAATAGTTATATAAAGATATGCTTTTAAAGATAATAATTAGATAAACGTATTAACGTTGTATACAGTTATGCCACTCTTGAAGAATAGTAAGAATTGTCATTATTTAACGTCATTACCACATATATCTTCACCATAAGGTCTCACACCTCCGATGACTGAGTGTTCATTAAATGCTTGTTTCGAAAGTAAATCAATTTTATACAAATTCTTTATCGACTATCCGTTAGAATAACATAACTTTTAGATATTAATAAATCCAATTGGATTTTGTGAGTGTTGTTAATATGTTAATCAATATTATGCTTATATGTGTTAATTAATTGACTAATAATTACAATCATATTCACAGCTATAGTATTATACGAGTAAATATGCATTCAATGAATCAGACGATACGGATAGCGATCGCCAACTGTCTCGAGACCGAGATCTCGAGGAATGGCTACTACTCGAAGACGACTGAGAGCTAGTCCGTGAGCCCCGTCGGTAAGGAATGGGACGCTTTCGGGCGCTGTTTTGTGGGTTAATTATTGGTTAGTTTGCGTTAGCGTTAAATAGCAAATGGTTAGGCTTTAAGTGTTACCTCATTATAACTGAAGGCATAAAACAAATCATAAGAAAATATAATTACAACAAAATAAACTTCAATTCAAATCATAATTTAATAAATTTTAATCAAATAAATCGATGAAAAATAAATGATACAAAAAAGATGACAAATAATATGTGGAAAAAATTGATTTAAAATATATTTTAATAATAATTAAGTGTTTGAATCAAATGACTGGTCGAGTGGTTAAGTGTCTAATACCTGGTTATTCTGCGTTTATCGAGAAAACTGGGCGAACCCTTACGGCGAGGGATCGACGGGCTTCTGCTCTTATGCCGAGAACCGGCCGAAGACTTGGAGGAACTGAAACAATACATTCAATTAGTATCAACTCTCGGGAAACCATTACTAAATAATGTAATCATAATTAATACGAACGCAGAACTAGAAGATGAAGACGAAGAAGAGGTTCGCGAATGCTTTGAACTTAAAGAACGCGATCGCGATCTATACGAACGGCTCGATTGTCTGGATCTCTGTTCCGGAGTCACCGAACGATTACTCCGCGATTCGGATCTCTTGGCAGAGCTTTCGTTATAATTAGAATAACTTTTGGGAATATCTTTAGCTTTTCTGGTGTCGCAAACGACAGCACTTTTCAGACGCTTTGGTTTCGGTTCGGACTCTTCTGATAGAGACCTCGATCTCGATCTGGACCTCGAAGGCGATGGTCTGCGCTGTTGGGGAACCGCTGCTGGCGATGGTCTGCGCCGTTGAGGAACCGCTGCCGGCGATGGACTCAACACTTTGGCAGTGCTTTCTTTGGGTTTGGCGTCGTTTTGCTGAGACTTCTTCTCACGAGTTGTATTGTTTTCGACTTCTTTTCTCATTTGTTTGATATTCATTTCAATCAAACGACTCGTTTTGTTGTTAATATCGTTTCCATACGTCGAATCCTATTAATTAATGCATTCATTAAACAAATGAATAATTTATTCATAAATAAAGACATTGAAGTAGAGATAAGACAATCAATGGTTAAATGTATTCCCATAGAAATACTTACAGAAGTGATGGGAATTTCCTTCAATAATGAACGGCAAAGCGTTTCAGATATAATAAAACAATACTTAGATTTTATACTCTA